ACTGTCAAAAAACTGAGCCATGAAACCAACCGCGTCAGCCCGTGAGAGTACTGCTGCTACTTGCCACAACTATGCGGCTAAGATGGAAGTTTCGACCGAGAGCCTCAAAAGAAAACACCCATTTTCTCCAGGAAAAAAACAACTGACTGCCAAAATGAGAGACTGCGTCTGATGGAGGTACGAAGGCTGCCCTGGAAGCAATAAAACAGCTGACTGATAAAGTGAATACTCTCAGCACCCAGATACAACAGAACTCCGTTATGCTAACTAGCATGGATAAAGCGGTTGAGTTTAACGCAGCGGAGATAAAAGACTGCAAAACTCAGCTACAAACCACGGAGCGGGAGGTGTCGGCAATAAAAAAAGACAACGCTGAGTTAATGGAAAGAGTCCTGGAGCTTGAAAGGTACAAGCATCATTAGAATCTCAGAATCCGAGGGATAAAAGAGAAAGAAGGAGAAAATACACGAGAAGTGGTGGCTAACCTGTTGATGAAAATCTCTCCCCCATGGGCCCCCAACATTAACCACATTGTGGACTGGGCTCATTGTCAGAGGAGAGGAAAATAAGACGAGGCAGGTCATCGTCCAGTTCACGCAGAGAATACATCGGGATGCGCTGTGGAAGATGACCAAGGGTTCCTCCATCTGCAGAGAACTTGGGACCGGTTTCATTGAAGACCTCTGCAATGCTGACACTGTGGCCGAAGATATGACAAGCACGGGTGGCTGGAAAATGAGCTTTCTACAGAGGAGGTGCTGGATACATCGATGGACACAGAATCACTTAGTGAGAACACTTGAGGTGTACTGGTGGTTAAAACCTATGAATAAATAAGCATCAAACAGGGTCTTAATCTTCCCTGCTATAAGAAGGTTGGATGGTTAAGTTTACAGATATTTTGACATTGAAGAAACATTGCCTACAGTTAAATGTTGGACGTTTTTTTATTTTCCACTTCTCTTCACTCAGTTGGACTTCTTACTGTTTACTAGCAGTTGCTAGTTGTGGTTCACAGTGAATGTTGACTTTTCTTGTATTTCATTGAATGCTAGGGGCTGAAGAGAAAATCAATATTTTTATTTTGTAAGAGCAAGAAAGCAAACTTTATTTTGTTACAGGAAACACACTCAAAACCAGAGGATGAAAAATTCTGGATTAACCAATGGGGGGATAAAATTATTATTATTATTATTATTATTATTATTATTACTATTAACTTTTTTGGAATCAGGGTTGTGCTTCTGTAGTTAGTCTATGACAGTTTGGCACATCACTCTTATTTTCTAAGCTCAGCAATTTACTTCTCCACTCTTCAGGTGTCCTCTCACTTTCCATGATTTTGGCAATGAACACACAAAATTATACATAAGATTCAAAATCTGAAATCAGAGAGCTGCTACAAGTTTTACAGACCACCAGATGTCACTGTTTAAAGTTTATAGTTTGTAATAATTATGATAATAATATATGTTGCACTTATCCAGCAGCTTGTAAAGGCAAAAGAAAGCAACATAAAACCAGGTGATTTTGGCAAAATACAGTTGTTTATTTACAGAGAGTTTAGATAATTAATACGAACAAAAACAGGTGAGGTGGACTACAAGGACAAAATGGGCTTGTGGATGCTGTTGAACTTAATAAAATAATAACAACCAAAAGAAGACTCTTAGAGCTACTAACATCCTAGCAGAAATACGACCTCACTGTCTTACCTTATTGAGGGAAACCAAGAAATAGTAATCCTCATTTCTGGGAACTTAAGTGTTTTTAGAAAGTTTTCAGAACTAAACCCAGCCTAGTCTCCAGGTCGGAAGCGGGTACACCTCAATACTAGTTTCACAAAGTCAACACATTTAACATCTTACAGCTAGAAACAACTGAAGGTTCCACTCGCACCAAAAGTCAAGCTGTCGGTGCGTCTTGGTCCCGAACTGCCCCCTGTAGATTGAAGAACTGGACCAGGTGCAGCTCCAAGGCTCCAGGATCCCCAGCTCATCAAACAGGAAGCAGGATGGGCAACACCTCAGCAGGTGTAACAGATGAGGTGCAGGAAACCAAATGTCCTACTCAGCATGCACGTGAAGACACTAACTTAAGGGTTAACTCTGGGATTTCAGTTCTACGAAGCTGGTTCAGTTTTTAGTGGGATAAATCACCGTTGTAACTTCAGACGATGGGGTCACTGACCCTGATCAGATCACTGGAAAAAAAACCATCCCAACATGGACAAAAGTCCAGGGTAACTGGTAAAAAAATAATGTATATTTTTTTATATATTAGAAGAATCTTTTACAACACTTAACACATATAGTAATAATGACGTAAGCTGCATTTTAATATTCTACCTCAGTGGCTGATTTTACACTCTGGTTGATCACCACAGCTCAGAATAACGCGATACACCCGTGTGATGAGAACTGGAAATAGAAACCCAAGAGAAACAACACTTACTATTAACTGGTTCCCATGGTTATAAATGTGACTGTGTCAAAGTGATGGGAAATCATTAGTTTTGTATAATCCTGTCCACATTGCCAAGTATGGCAACAAGTACGGCAAATTGTGGCAAAGGGTACTGATCACTGTTGGATATTTTATAGTCTTGTATTATTTAGAATTTAGCTGACAGGCAGGTAACTGTCAACCGCATAGTCACGCACTGTTGCTCCCAAAATGCAGGTTGATCAACTGTCCACCCCGCAACTCAAATCTCCACAAACTGCTGCTGAGGAGCAAACACAAGAGCTCCACCTGCATTCTTTGACATGGCCAAGAGGCTTCTTCAGTTCTAACTGACTTGTGTGGAGTCGCAGGCCTTAAACTCTGTGTGGGTGTGAACCTTAACAGAGTTGTTAAGGTCACATGTGAGTCGTTGACCCACCTGCCCATCATGTGTGTCGTTAGGGTCAGATAGGACCATGTGTGAATGGGTGTGAAGTCATTTGGGGAGGGATCCCAAGACTGCATCGTAGGTGGGTGATAAGTGGTGGTGGCAATGGTTAAAACCAATCATCCACTCCACAAGCACATGGGGCAAACAGGAGAGCCAGTTCCTCAAGTCAAGACTTGTCCATCCATTTACATCTAAAGGAAAAGGGACATTCTTTTGAGGACAGCAATGTGCACATCTTGGCAAGAGAAGACAGATGGTCATCTACAGTACAGGCCAAAAGTTTGGACACACCTTCTCATTCAATGCGTTTTCTTTATTTTCATGACTATTTACATTGTAGATTCTCACTGAAGGCATCAAAACTATGAATAAACACATGTGGAGTTATGTACTTAACAAAAAAAGGTGAAATAACTGAAAACATGTTTTATATTCTAGTTTCTTCAAAATAGCCACCCTTTGCTCTGATTACTGCTTTGCACACTCTTGGCATTCTCTCCATGAGCTTCAAGAGGTAGTCACCTGAAATGGTTTTCCAACAGTCTTGAAGGAGTTCCCAGAGGTGTTTAGCACTTGTTGGCCCCTTTGCCTTCACTCTGCGGTCCAGCTCACCCCAAACCATCTGGATTGGGTTCAGGTCCGGTGACTGTGGAGGCCAGGTCATCTGCCGCAGCACTCCATCACTCTCCTTCTTGGTCAAATAGCCCTTACACAGCCTGGAGGTGTGTTTGGGGTCATTGTCCTGTTGAAAAATAAATGATCGTCCAACTAAACGCAAACCGGATGGGATGGCATGTCGCTGCAGGATGCTGTGGTAGCCATGCTGGTTCAGTGTGCCTTCAATTTTGAATAAATCCCCAACAGTGTCACCAGCAAAACACCCCCACACCATCACACCTCCTCCTCCATGCTTCACAGTGGGAACCAGGCATGTGGAATCCATCCGTTCACCTTTTCTGCGTCTCACAAAGACACGGCGGTTGGAACCAAAGATCTCAAATTTGGACTCATCAGACCAAAGCACAGATTTCCACTGGTCTAATGTCCATTCCTTGTGTTTCTTGGCCCAAACAAATCTCTTCTGCTTGTTGCCTCTCCTTAGCAGTGGTTTCCTAGCAGCTATTTGACCATGAAGGCCTGATTGGCGCAGTCTCCTCTTAACAGTTGTTCTAGAGATGGGTCTGCTGCTAGAACTCTGTGTGGCATTCATCTGGTCTCTGATCTGAGCTGCTGTTAACTTGCCATTTCTGAGGCTGGTGACTCGGATGAACTTATCCTCAGAAGCAGAGGTGACTCTTGGTCTTCCTTTCCTGGGTCGGTCCTCATGTGTGCCAGTTTCGTTGTAGCGCTTGATGGTTTTTGCGACTCCACTTGGGGACACATTTAAAGTTTTTGCAATTTTCCGGACTGACTGACCTTCATTTCTTAAAGTAATGATGGCCACTGGTTTTTCTTTAGTTAGCTGATTGGTTCTTGCCATAATATGAATTTTAACAGTTGTCCAATAGGGCTGTCGGCTGTGTATTAACCTGACTTCTGCACAACACAACTGATGGTCCCAACCCCATTGATAAAGCAAGAAATTCCACTAATTAACCCTGATAAGGCACACCTGTGAAGTGGAAACCATTTCAGGTGACTACCTCATGAAACTCATGGAGAGAATGCCAAGAGTGTGCAAAGCAGTAATCAGAGCAAAGGGTGGCTATTTTGAAGAAACTAGAATATAAAACATGTTTTCAGTTATTTCACCTTTTTTTGTTAAGTACATAACTCCACATGTGTTCATTCATAGTTTTGATGCCTTCAGTGAGAATCTACAATGTAAATAGTCATGAAAATAAAGAAAACGCATTGAATGAGAAGGTGTGTTCAAACTTTTGGCCTGTACTGTACGTCAAACTGGAATGACCATCGTTAAACAGAGGAGGTGGCCTACGACACCACTTATCCCCCACCAATAATGCAGTCTTGGGATCCCTCCCTAGACGACTTCACACCCATTCACACCTGGTCCTATCTGACCCTAACGACACACATGATGGGCAGGTGGGTCAACGACTCACATGTGACCTTAACGAATCTGTAAGGGTTGACACCCACACAGAGTTTAAGGCCTGCGACTCCACACAAGTCAGTTAGAACTGAAGAAGCCTCTTGAATGAGAGGCGAAACGTCTTCAAGAAACTCTTACGATACAGCACTTCTGATTACCATGACCTGGATGACTGAGAATCTCACTTTTATACATTATCTAGTCTTTTATATGTCCGTCTCGTGTAAGACTCTGGCCACAAACTAAGCAACAATATTGCTCCTGATTGGGTTCGCGTGTTCTTGCAAAACTCCCTCTAACTGGAAACTTCAATCACAATATGGGCAACAAAACAGTTTCCCTGCCGACTTCTGTCTCAGGTTCAGAGGAATCCCCAGTCTTGTCAACAGTATCTGGTTTGAAATGTGGATCTGGATCTGAGTTCCTGGCTGGTTGTGGTCCTCCCCAGTCCTCTCCATCAGCCTCTGTTTCCATCTGTTGTCTCTGTTGCATTGAGCTGCCGGCTGGAACCTCAGCCCCTCTGTTCTCGTCCGGTTGACAAAGCTGTGACAACTGACGCCCGACACACTGATGGTTCCTGAGCTGATAAACCCAAGTGAACCTTTGATCGCAGACGCTGCAGCTGAACCTTTTCTCTCCCGTATGGATTCTCATGTGTCTCATGTGGTTTATGTGAAAGACAAACTTTTTACCGCAAACCGTGCAACTGTACGGTTTCTCTCCGGTATGAATCTTCATGTGTATCTTCATCTGCCGGCTGTCGATGAAGCCTTTGCCACATGCCGAGCAGCTGAACGGCTTCTCTCCTGTGTGAGTCCTCATATGTCTCTTCAGATTGCGACCTTCGATGAAGCCTTTACCACACACGGTGCAGCTGAATGGTTTCTCTCCAGAATGAGTTTTTAAGTGTCTCTTCAGATTTCGACCTTCGGTAAAACCTTTGCCACACAGCGAGCAGCTGAACGGGTTCTCTCCTGCATGGATTCCTATGTGTAGCTGTAAGACTCCCCTCTGGGAAAAAGATTTCTCACAAACAGGGCAGCTGAAATTTTTGTCTTCAGCGTGAGTTTTCAAGTGTCTTTTTAGATTTCGACTCGTGATAAAACCTTTGCCGCACACGGAGCAGGCAAAAGGTTTCTCTCCCGTGTGGATTTTCGAGTGTCGCCTCAGGTTTCCACGCTCAGGGAAACTTTTACCACAAACCGAGCAGCTGAATGGTTTCTCTCCAGTGTGGACTCTCATGTGTAACCGCAGCACTCCTCTCTGCGTGAAACATTTCTGACAAACAGGGCAACTGAACGGTTTCTCTCCGGTATGAGTCATCACATGTCTCTTCAGGTTTCCGCTTTTGCCGAATCTTCTACCACACTCCGGGCAGCTGAACGGTTTCTCTCCCGTGTGGATTCTCATGTGCATCCGCAAGCTGTCGCCCTCTGTGAAAGACTTCTGACAAATGGAGCAGCTGTACGGTTTCTCTTGTCTGTGAGAGCGCATGTGTCTCTTCAGAGATGCCTTGAGGCCAAAGCCTTTCCCGCACTCAGCGCAGCTGAACGATTTCTCTCCCGTGTGAGTTACCATGTGTATCTTCAGATGGGACTTGAAGCTGAATCTTTTTCCACACTGTGAGCAGCTAAATGGTTTCTCACTAACAGAGACTTCATCATTTGTGGGAGAATTTAAACCTGACTGAGGTTCTCTGGTCTCGTCCCAGTCACCATCACTGACTTCAGTCTCACAACAGTCCAGAGACTCGTCTTCACTGACTGGTTGTAAATCTGGATCTGGATCAGAGTCTTGGGGCGCTGGTAGTACTTCAATATTGGACACTAAAGAATTGTCAGGCTTCTTGTCCTCAGTATCTGGTTCTAAATCTGGATCTGGATGCGAGTCTCTGGGCACTGGTCGCACTCCTCCTCCAGGCACTGGTCCTGGTCCTCCACAGTGGTGTCCCTCAGACTGAGGTTTCTCTTCATCATCTTCACTCTTCACAGGGACAGGAGTGAATGTGAACTTGGTGATATCAGCCTCCTCCAGCCCTTGAAGCTGCTCTCCCTCCTGACTGCTCCACAGTTCCTCCTCTTCCTCTTTAATGTGTGGGGGCTCTGGGTCCTCCTGGTCCACACTGGAGCTCCACTCCTGCTGCTCCTCTTCACCGACGATCACTTTCTGGACGTCTGAAGATAAAGCTGAAATGCAGACAGACAGTTGTTAGTGTATATTTGGACATTCTGACATTTAACATTCAACAACAAACTTCTGTTTTCTTAGTCTGTCTCTACAACCCGGTATTGCTCTGAAGTCGTCGAACATGGGCGCTTGGTCAGTGACTTCAGGCGTCAGATGCAAACGAAGAAATGAAAAAAGCCATCCTTTCATAACCGCATTATACACGGCTGGATGTCGTTATCGTTTAACAGTGCCCGGTGGTGTCAGGGGGAAATGCTGCGGAACAATGTACGTTATGGTAGCGGAAGTCCGAGTAGAGTGGAAGCGGGGGGGGGGGGGCGCTGGATGGGTCCAACAACCATCAACTTTCACCCAGGAGGCCGGTGTTCACTTCCTGTAAGATTCTAAAGCCAACCCTGTTCTGTTTTCCTAAACCCAAGCCCCTACATTTGTTGCCTAATCTTAACCGTATGCTTTTGTTCTCTTGCCTTACCTTACCTGAGCTGACCTTTCTGTACCTTATCTTACCTAACTGTACCGTTCCTTACCTTACCTTACTTTGTCTTACCTTACCTAACATTACAGTGCCTTATCTTGCCTTACCTTACCTCACCTTACCTTACTTTGCCTTGCCTTACCTTACTTTACCTTACGTTACCTTGCCTTACCTTACCTTACTTTGCCTTACCTTACCTCACCTTACCTTGCCTTGCCTTACCTCACCTTACCTTAGTTTGCATTTTATTATTATCTACTTTTGACATGGTTTTTATTTAAATCTATTTTGTTTGCAAGAGATGTAACTTTACTTACTTTCTGCTTTTGTAGGGAATTTGCTTTTTATATTAAAACTAAAATGTGACCTTTATCGTAAGACGTTTTCATTTCCAATGACGTGTGCTCCGATTTTAATCACGAAATATTCATGACATATGTATACATATATTTTGGTACGTGGGGAGAAGCAAATGTCCCCAGAAATGGTTATCTAAAGCAGTGATTCTCAAATGGGGGTGCGTGAAGGCATTCCAGGGGGTGCCTGGAGATTTTTTTTTTAAATATTCAAAATTAGCATCTGTTCAGAAATCCTTTAAAAAAAACTCTTTAGTTATTTTTATATCTTTTTATTTTCAAATAGTTCAAGAGAGACCATTACACATGAGCAATGTTATGCACATTGAGTTTCAAATGTTTGAAATTTGAAAGTGTCTAGTTATAAAGTTTAATAGATCAGACACCGGTGGCACAGCGGTGTGTATTACATCGTTTTTTCAACCAAAAATGCTTTGTGTTGGTTAGAGGGCACTTGGCTGAAAAAGTATTTCACAGGGGGTACATCACTGAAGAAGGCTGAGAACCACTGATGTAAAGAACAGCAAACAGCAGCTGTGTGATGGGAAGCACCTTGAATGTGTGAATAGTTGTTTGTGTGTGTGTGTGTGTTTTCTTCACAATTTGCCTCACAGGGCTTTACAGCATACGACATCCCTCTGTCCTTAAGACCCTCACAGCTGATCAGGAAAAACTCCCCAAAAGTTATAGTATATTGTTATTAATAACATATATGAGATACAAACAGACCAAAAAAATATAAGAGAGAGAGAGAGAGATTATTATTATAATTAATTTATTTGCTTATTTTTGTAAAAAAATAAATCTATTATTAATTTATTTTTGTTAAATTTATTTTTTCATTTATTTATTCATCTTTTTTACTTATATTCACCGTATTTATTTATTTGTTGAATTTTATTTCTATTTTTTACTTGATTATTTTTTTTATTAATTTTTATTAATTAATTAATTTATAATTAATTTATTAGTTTTTTCTTGTTTATTTTATTTCATTTATCAATTAATTTGTTTATGTATTTATTTTGCTTGTTAAAGTGTTTTATTTTTATTTACTTATTTGTTTATTTTACTGTCTATTTTCTTAATCATTCATTTATTGATTTATTTTTTTAGTCATTTTTTTCTTGTCAAAATTTGTATCATTTATTTATTTTCGTTAATTCTTTAATTCTTATTTATTTATTTGTTTATTATGCTTGATAAAGTTTTTATTTTCTTGTTAAAATCTTTTTGTCTATTTATTCATTAATTTTTCCTTGTTAAATTACCGATTTATTTTTCTTAAAGTTGTTATTGTTTTTATTTATTAATTTATATGTTTATCTATTTTTCTTGTTACATTTACATTAAATTTCTCAATTTACTGATTTATTTATTTAGTTTTTTGTTATTTGTTTAGTTTTATTTTTGTTTTATTTTTCTGAGTTTGTCTTTTGTGGTAATTGTTATTTGACACCTGTCTTGTGTCCCACAGTGCCCCTGTCATTTCCTTCACTTGCTTTGTGTCTGCATCACTTAATTAAATTAAAAATAATAATAACTGAAACCCCCCCTGCAAAAAAACAGACATTTCCTGTGGAGCCCAGAGGTGATACTGTTATATTGTGAGCTGTAGTTCACAGGACAGAACTGTGGTGTCCACTGTATCACAGCCATGTTCCCTGTGGACTGCTGTGTGAATATGACACAGACGATACTGGCTGACTGCTGTTTAACCACCACAGAAGAAGAAGACACTAACCAGAGGGGTATACCAGAAAGCGGGTTCAGTGAACACTCTGAGTGTGTTAACCCTGAGATGAGGGAAACTCTGGGTTTTCAGTTCCCGACAGAGAGGTGAGTCAAACTCTGAGTCAATCACCATGGCAACTGACTCTGTGAACCTAACCTGTGTCTTGGGTATGATAGTTTTTAAAGGATTCAAATTTCAAATAAGTCATCAACCATCTATATGTGCTTAAAGCAGCTGCTGAAATCAGCAAGGATTCTTTATGAATATTTTTGGGGGTCATTTTGCCTTAAACTCACAGGACAGTTAACCATGAAAGAGGGAGAGAGACAGAGGGAGTGACGTGCAGCAAGGTGCCACAGGCCGGAGTCAAACCCGGGCCGCTGTGGCAATATGGGACGCCTGCTCTCTCCACTAAGACACCAACATCCCTTTGAAGAGATTCTGCTTGCTAAATTTCCCATGCTGCCTCTCTCTCCTTGGCAGCTTTAGTGCTGTTACTTTGTTTATGAAATATATGCTCATATTCGCTGTAGGCATTCATGAGCACCTCCAAGTCCACAGGTGTAAAATAAGTTGATTGCCTTTTCTCTCTGGTTGCCATGGTGACTCGAGGTATCAGGGCTCCACTGATGATGGCTTTTTATTGTGGTTGTGTACGTGCTTAACTCAAGGTGTACCTACTCAGAGTTGACTGAACTAATTAGAATCAGCTGTTCTGGAACCGGATACTCAGAGTTTGTTGAACCTCCTACCTGGAGTACCCCTCAGCTCTGTGTTTATAACCACAGAAGAAGAAGACACTAACCTGCTCTGTGTTTATAACCACAGAAGAAGAAGACACTAACCTGCTCTGTGTTTATAACCACAGAAGAAGATACTAACCTGCTCTGTGTTTATAACCACAGAAGAA